ATGATTGAGGAGAGAAAAGGATCAGATTGCTGTTTTCTACAGTGGAGCAGGATATTGCTGAAGTCTCCTGGCATATGTTACTGAATCAAATGGCCTTTCAGAGGCTAAGAAATGTCTGTTAGTAAAAGTTGTTCTTTTTCCCTAAGCATTTCATTTGAAAGAATAACTTGTTTTTTGGTTGTTTTGTATTCCCACCTATGCTGGTAGATATTATTAACCCATTAGGTAAAGACTATTACAGTCGTGGTTTCTGCAGCAGCTCACATTGTTGTAGCTGGTATTTATAACTGCCTTCTTTCACTACCCATTTCGCATTCCCTTTGCCCTGAGATAGCATGTCAGTTGGTCATGGTGCTTGGCCTGGCAGGATGACTCAAACCTTCATCAAACCTTCATTATGGAAGAGTCTGAACCATTAGATATCCTGTCTTGATGGGGTTGCTGTGATTTTCCATTAACTCTAATTGCAAACACGGGAGGACTAGACATATCAGACTTACTCTTCCTGAGCCCCTAGTGTAGTAGAAACCTAATCTCTCTCTTTTTTTTTTTTTTTCGGTTTTCATCACCCGAGCCAGTAGTGGACCCCCTACTTTGTCTCTTGGTTGAAAGGAATGAAGAGTTCAAAGTGGTCAGCTGGCAGACACAATTTTCATTTCAATGGAATCATTTTTGGTTCCCCTGTTGAAAAAATGTCTCAATTTGTAACTAAGACCTCTAGTTCAATAGAGCCAAAAGTTGGTTACTTGAGAGCAAACTTTGCTTCTTGAGCACAAAAAGAAAAATTTGGCTACTAGATACCCAGGAGTAATAGTGAGAGGAGACCTGAATCTTGCCTCTTTCATTCTTGAAGACATAGGTGTTGCTATGGGAGAAATAGTTCCTTATACTTAAGGCTGGGATACAGCATTGCCACCTCTGAGATTGTCAGCCAAGCTCCTCAAGGCACTGCCACAGAGTAGAACTACAGTCAGGCTTTAAAGATCACTCCACTGTTCTATTGAGCCAGCCACTTCAGGATGTTGAGGAACATCACAAGGCTAGTGAAATCCATTAGCATGAACCCATTCCCATACTTCATTTCCTGTCATGTGAGTTTCATGTTGAAAACTGGTGCAGTGTGGTATACCATGATGGTGGATACAGCCTTTCCTAATACCACAGTATTGATTTTCTTGAAGTACCGTGGGTGGGAATGAAAATCCATATGCAGAATAAGTGTCTATTTGAGCAAGAACAAAGTGATGCCCCTTCAATTGTGGAAGCAGACTCAAGTAATCACAGTGCTACCTGGAAGCTGAGTGACCACTCTGGGACATGGTGCCATACTGGGGACTCAGTGTTGGTCTCTACTGCTGGCAGATTGAATAGTGAGCAGTGGCTGTAGTGAGATGGACCTGGTAAGTGAAAGTTCATGTTGCCAAACCCATGAATAATCTTTATGTCAGCCACCATAATGATGATGCACCATTACTGCTTAGAAGATAGAAGGGTGCACCTAAGGAGGTATGGAGGTGGCTCAAGTAGCTTAGAGTGGCCTCAGCCAAGACCGCAAGTATACGGCTACCTCAGTTCTACAACTTTAAGAAGTTAGACCTGCCCATAACCCAAATCAGCTTGAAAACAGTATCTCTCTGAGTCCTCAATTAGTCAGCAGCCTAGTTGATACCTTAACTTTGATTTTGTGAGATCCTAAGCAGAGAAACCAATCCAGGCTGCATGGATTTCTGATCTGCAGAACTGCTTATATGTTTGTGTCATTTTAAGCTGCTGAATTGGGGATAATTTCTTTTGCATTAGTTACAAACTTAATACATGTGGTGCCTGCGTATTCTGAAGTAACAAATGAAAATCAGGCATGATGTTTTTTATTTTCTAGTCAACTGGTCATAGGGAACTCCACATGAGACCACAGGTGCAGGATTAGGGAAGCTTCTCTTTTTCTGGGCCCCGATCCATGCTAGCAGGGTTTCAGTCACTTGTCAGTGGGTCACGATACTGTACAACATTGAGGTATACGTGAAAACAAGCATCTGTTACACAATTTGTTTTTGTGTTCCTTATTTAGTTGTAAGAAAGGCAAGATATAGGAACTTGCTGTTCACCTTATAAGCACCATCTTGACATGCCAGACTACTAGACTGTTAAACGTTTCACTCAGTTAGAAGGCCCCTGATTTTGTGTGAGAATTATTTCTCACATAATGTCTTGCAAGTGTGTTGCTAATGTGTCTGGATTAGTTGCTACCTCCTGCTCCGTCAGCATAATGTCATCAGGGCAAAGAATTGTGTCACATCTGGTATAAGGGAATGGTGGTCAAGGTCCCTTAAGGACTCAATTAGGATGTAAGCCTAGAGAGTTCATATAAGCTTGAAATAGGAGGTGAAAGTACATTGCTGACCTTTCCAGCCGAACCCAAACTCTTGTTTGTGATAATTATTGAAAGAGAAAAAAAAATCACCTAATTGATATGATATATCAGGTTCCCAGGGTTGTCACAATTACTAAAGTAACAAAATCACCTGGAGCACAGCAGCTGGAGTTGTAACAACAATTTAATTAAGTGATCTCAGCTCACTGCAACCTCCACCTCCCGGGTTCAAGCAATTCTCCTGCCTCAACTTCCTGAGCAGCTGGGACTGTAGTTGTGCACCATCACACCTGGCTAATTGTATTTTTTAGTAGGGACAGGGATTCACCATGTTGGTCAGGCTGGTCTTGAACTCCTGACCTCAAGTGATCCACCTGCCTCGGCTTCCCAAAGTGCTGGGATTATAGGCATGAACCACTGTGCCTGGCCACAAATCCATGTATTTCTGCACAGGAGAAATAATTCAGTTGAAAGGGATGGCTGAAGAATCACCAGCCTGTGTCCTTCAAATGCTTGCTGTTACCACCAGTTACTGCAGTCCCTCCAGGAAAGTAGTGTTGCTTGTGGATTATGATTTTTATAATTAGGGCAGTTCTAGTGGCTTCAACTTGGCCTCTCCATCCATAGCATCCCTCACTCTACAGGTCAGGGAAGCAATGTGGGGATTCTGCCAGTCACTGTGTATGTTCCCAACTATGCATTCTGAAACTGGGAAACAATCAGAGGGTGGATTCATGGACCAACGTAGTCCAGTGTACATTGAACCTGATGTAAAACCACATGATTAACAGAAACAGCTCTTATTGGAAGAGCATAGTGACATTTTGGGTATCCTGTAATTAGTACCAGTTCAGAGTCTTTATCAAGTAATCCCTGATAATTCTGATTACTTTTCCACCAAGCACTGCCACAGTAAGAACTGGGCACAGATCTGTTGAGGAAGGTCGGGACAATGATTAACAGCATAGTTATTAGGCAGTGCAGCATCATCTTTCCTGAAGGGCAAGGCTGCAGTAATGTCTGGCTAAAGAAGAGAGCTACGGCAAACT